GCTGACTACATGTGGGTAAATTATGGCCCTGTTCCAAGATGTGTGGGATCTTACAAGGTAGAGATTGGATGGAGAATATCCCTGATTTACCAAAGTGCTGTTCCAGGAGCTGCTTCATTGTAAGTGTGCTCCTTGTGTAATTTCAATGATCAAGATTCCCTTTAAGAAAAAATGTGGTTATACTGACATTCACTTTGAGCAAATGAAGCATTGTTTATATCTGTTGAAACTGAAATGAATAATGCATGGCTTCATTAGTGTTTTTTCTGTTTTTTCTAAGTATGTTTTTGCATATAAATTTTTAGAACCCATGGCAAATCAGATGGTGCAGAGGCTGTTTGATTCCCTGCCCCCAGCCCCCCTGTGTTCCCTGTTTTCCAGTGGGTGGTTTGCCTGAACAAGGGAATGCAGTGAATAAATTTATCAGCATCAGAATCTGTATTTATAAAATTATATTATTTCTTTTATCACAAATTAAGTATTTTAGTTAAAAGGTTTTTAGTTTCAAAAGCATTTTTTGTTTGCAAAATTAAAAAATATTTTGGATGGCTCGTTACTGTGCTTTCAAGTGTACTTTCCCTGCTGAAAATGAAAGATATGGACAAATATTAGTTCCTGCATGATGAATAGGTTAAAGGAAAACTTTGCTTATCTTGAAAACGTAGACTTAGTATCTGTACCAGCACTTCTTAAGGTACAAATGCGGTCTGGCTCCTAAACATAACACCAGTCAGTGGAATAGCCCCGGATTGCACAGCAGAAAGAATCTGTATTGGCTAAGAACTCTGGCAGAACTGAGCAATTCCAGGTTGCAAAGAGTGCTTGGCTCATCTCTCATTTTTATGAGGAATAACATCACACACAGTGCTAAACCTCACTAAAAAGAACTGAAATGTTCTCCTGACAGGCCTAGAAATGCATCCAGTAACCTCATGTGATCTTTTACTCCATCATGCCAAGGCCATTGTCTCTGAGGTTAAGAAAATTGTGCATTACATTGCAAAATCTTCTACTTGTGAGTTAAAAGAGAAGTCTCAAGCCTGACTCTATTACTTTAGATAATTATAAGTTAGCACATACATGTAAATATTTCAATTTCCATCATAACTTTGCCGTAAATTTACAAAAGGCAGATTTTAGGAGACCTTAAGATAAGCATTGTTTCTGAAAGCATGATAAAAGGAAGGGGAAAGCATTTTCCTAGTTTACATGATGGTTAAGAATGTTTTAGTCCTGGGATTTCAGATGATTTAATTTTTGGCAGTACCAATTAGACGTATGCTGTGAACAGGGGAAAACAATGGTAGGTTTACTACTAATTGTCTGGTAGAGTTCTTTTTTCTCTAAGATTTGTGTGTGTGTGTGTGTGTGTTTAAAAGACAGAATTTTTTTGGTTGGTTCCATATCTCAGTGGAGGAGGACAGTCCTACCGAATTGGCACCTTATGGGGAAGGGGGCAATATATTTCTTTTTATTGACGTAATTGCAGCGAGATGAAAATATGTCATTATATTTATTCTTATACACACCTAATGAATTAGTTATATCCTACTATTCCCTGAAATTAGCTGACAGTTTAATTTCAGAGTAGAAAATTATCAAAGTAGAACTGGCATATGTACCTATATCCTTGTATTTCACATACCCAACCTCCCCAAACTCCTCAAAATATCTATTTATGATAGTTTACTCCTGGTAAGTAGCCAGGGTATTTCAGTCAATAGCATGATTAGAACTCATGCTGCAGGAATCCATTTATGATCCCGTGCAGGAAGGAGTTAACATAGCAAGCCTGTTTGCAAGATTGGCTCTTGGCTGGCATCTGGGGAATTGGATTTTGGGAAGGTTACCACCACTCCCAGAACTGATAAGAGTGGCTCACAGTGACTAAACTGTTTGCACAAACAATATGGTTTATGCTGAACACCTGCTTTACTTTTGGAGTCTGGAATTTTGGGTAGGTGCGAGGCAGATGGTGCCTATATGATTGATTCCCAGTAAAAACCCTGGACTCCTAGGCTCAGGCTAACTTCCCTGGTAGACAGCATTTCACAAGGTTTTGGGGACACTAAATGTGGCCTGTGTAACTTCACTGGGAGAGGCCCCGTGGAAGCCTGTGTATGGTTTTTTCCAGACTTCTCCCTGTGCACTTTTTCTCTTTGCTGATTTTTGCTTTGTTGTAGTAATAAATCATAGCCATGAGTACAACTACACGCTGAATCCTGTGAATGAACCATCAAACTTGGGAGTGGTCTTGGGGACCCAGGACACAGACCCATCATCAACTCCTAAAAGTCTCCACCTGGTTAGTGTGGGGTGCTCTGGGTCAGGGAGTTGGCATTGCAGACGGACCCATGCACATGGCTTGCTGGGAGAGGCACATGGGACAATGCTGGTAAAAGCTCCCTGAAAACAATAATTCACTATCTAAATGCACAGTGATATTTTATTTTGCTTCTTCCATAATATGTATGTTTTGGTCACTGCTATGAGTCATACGTGATTACATACACATAGCACACTCAATTATTTTCCCTTGAAAGAGTACTAGGGCTCTTTCTCTACCTTGGGCCAGGGAAACCCCCACTTCCCTAGTGGGCTGAACTTACAAGAGTGACAGACCATTGGGGGCAATCTAGACACTAACTCCCCACCCACTTTCATTTTTCATGTTGCACCCAGGTTACTTTTTCTTTTACTATGTTGATTATGGTTACTATCTATTCGAACAATTAATTGCTATCCATTTGTTGCAAAATAAAGGATAGATACCCTCATCTGTCAGCCAGCTTCCTCTCATCCCACCCTCCCTTTCTAGCCTTATTTCTTACTGCTTGCATTTGTGTCTGACACTTTGTCTTAACTTGAACACTGACCCTTCTCCTTCCCTTCCCGTCTCATTTTCCTTCCTTTACACTCACTCCTAGGATGGTTCTTCCTCCATCTCTCCCTGTGCAGATCCTACCCACTCTTCAAAGCCCATCTCCAGTGCCACATCTTCCTCTGGTCTTTCTAGTAGTCAGAGCTGTTTTATATTTGTCACATGTCTATGTTTTTTGGAGTATGAGTAGGAAGTGAGAGGAGAAGTAAGATAGCTAAGGGAAGGCAGCCAGTAAAGGTGCATTATTAAACCAGCAACAGTGGTGGGCAGTTGAAGCTCAGGACTGGGGAGGAAACTCTAGGAGGTGGTGTCAAGCAGGATTTTTCAAATTTGAAAATACAGGAGAATCACCTGGGGATGATTAATGTGCAGGTTAACATGCAGGTTCAGACTCAGGTCTGGGGTGACACCTGAGTCTGCATTTCTAAGTTCCCGGTGATGGTGATGCTCTGTGGTTGGTATGGGTCCTCAGACCCCAATTTGGAGGACAGTGATGTTATAAAGTCCCACCTAAAGGATGAGGGAGCCTGGAGTATTTATACACCAATTCTAGGTGGTCATTAGTTAGGGACTCTTCTGGGGGTGTTAATTCCTGCCACCTTTGGCTTGTCAAGGGGCCATCCCTGACTCGGAGAAAGCCCTCAGGCAGAGAGGTATGAAATACGTGCAGTTGAAAGTTGGCTTCATCTGTGATTGTGGTTGTTTATGCCCATCTCTTCCACCATACCAGACTGTCAGATCCCTGAAGGTAGGCTCTGTAATTCACTTCTTCCTTAGTAGCGTTTAGCACACAGTGTGCTTCTGCGTTTGCTTAATAAATGAGCGGATTGCTGCTGCTCTCCACCTTGGTAAAGTTTCACAAGCACAGTTTAGGGTGCGGTTCAGTGACAAACACCAGCTTGTGTTTTTAACCTCCGAGATAAGATTCTACCACAAAAAGAGCCTCATTTCTGATTCTACATCTCTGAAGGTATCAGTGGCCTGGTCCTCAAGGAGGGTGCCATGGGAGAAAGCAAAAATTACCCTGTATAAGCTACAAGACTATGCCAATTGTTGGGTTGAGGCAATAGCTACACTAATTGTATGGCTGGGCATTTCATAACTAAAGCCAAAACGTTTCATTATTTTAGTTATACTAAGTTTCCATTTGTATTGTCAGGGCTGGGGCTCAGGCACTTCAAACCTGTTGTATAGACTGGGTCACCAGACCCCTCACACACAGATCCACGCTAGGTGATTAGGAAAGATCCTGGGAGCCATTGGCAGATGACAGGAACTCAGTCGGCAGCAGCAGCAGAGGCGACGGTGGCCTGCTGGAGGGTCCTAGAGGCCTTGGCAGCAACAGCCAGCAGTAACAGCCTCCCCATGGCATTTTTAAAACTTTCTTTGGTGTGGAACTTTCCTTTGATGCTTAGTACGAAGTAACTTTCTCTTCACCCTCAAAGAATTAATCGTTTAAGTGGGGTGTAAAAATGGTCAGTATGGGCCGGCCCGGTGGCGCACTGGATAGTGCGCCGCTTGGGAAGCGCGGCGGCGCTCCCGTCCGAGGGTTTGGATCCCACATACAGACCGGCTCCCGCTCACTGGCTGAGCGAGG